GAGAGAGAGAGAGAGAGAGAGAGAGAGAGAGAGAGAGAGAGAGAGAGAGAGAGAGAGAGAGAGAGAGACATGAAAGAAAAATGAGACGCCATCAGCGAGTGTTGTTGTGCGAGCCGTGGCGGGTTCCACTTGTAGTAACTATAGAAAGAGGAGGCACACATGCAGCCGTAGTTTTCCACTAGACTGCTAGCTTAATACTTTTGCAGTCTAACGTCCTACCGTTTGGCAGCTTGTGTATCAACACCTTCCTATCCCAATCAAACTGAGGCTAAGCAACTTCGAGGTAATACATGCCTAGTAACATATTGAAGGGCAATTCGTCGCTAACGAGGAATGAGATTTTATGTCTCACTTCCCCTTCTCCATAAGAGAAGGTACATACTACATCCTTGACATAGTCTTTAACTAACATCTGGTGCTTGTTGGCTAGCGTAGAAGCTACAGTTCTGCTAAGCCGATGCACTTGGTCCCCTAAGCACAGTCTATCCACACAAACACGACTTGTGAAAGTCCGTGTAGAGCCTATGTCTGCGAAGGCACCCACTTTGCAGCCACCTATATCAATCTCTACCACGAAATGTTCACCCTTAGGGCCTCTACTGATCATCGCCCAAGAGTCTCTGGGGTCCTTCCCTGACCACTCAAACTGTAACTCTTCTAAGGGGCACATCTCTCGAACAGAGCGTCGGTGGGTCTGAATGTGTCTGCGGGGTGATGTTTGGGTCTCTAGCCTTGGCCAACGCCTGAAGTGGGGAAGACAACGTTACCACTTCAACGCGAGTAAGAGCGGTTAACACTCCTACTGGCCCAAGGAGTTTCCCTACGAAGTGTTCGCAGAAGCACTGCCAGGGTTCGAGGATAAGCCCACAACTGTAGGAGTGGCTACCCTCGTGGTGACCTTCTTGCCTCGGCAAGTCCTAGACGTGTGGCCATAATTGCCACAGTTCATACATGTGCCCCTGGAAACTCGGTCTCTCCACACCTCATAGTCTAAACCAAGTTTTGCCCATGCGGGTGTTCCTTTGGTCGCCCCGACCCATAGACCGGCCAACCTTCTTCTTCCCGGTCCCCCTAGCCTTTTCTTTGATAGGTGACACGACTCCCCCATCCGAAGTCTCACTGGCCCCATCAAGCTCTGTCTTATCTCCTAGATCTGGGAACTCGTCAATTTCCGTCGTCTGACCATCATGGTCAACGAACATCAACTGACTCTTCTTCTTCCAGTCTTGGGGAAGCTTCTTCCTCCTGCCATCTGTTGGACACTGATGCGGGGACCCAAGCTTTGCCTCTATATCTAAAGCCTTCTTGCTGAAAGAAGCAAAGTTGTGTTGATCGACGTAGGCCTCATCTACCAGCTTAGTCCTTACCTCTGAAGGCAGACATCTCAGGTAATCCGTAAGGAGTACCTGCTGGTCATAGCGCACACCAGGTACCACGAGCAGACGTTCTACGGTATCTATGATTTCGTGAACAATCTTGTACCTTCTGGCACAAAGATTGTTGATCGCGTCTGTGGCCTTTTGAGCCCCTTGAGGGTCATGCCACCTATTATACACGGATCGTACAAAGTCTTCCAATGTCTGGGCCTGGGCCCAAGCATCGAAGTTCTGACCGTAGCCCTGCTGCTGCACTAGGCCATTCAACCAGCGGGCTGCTGACCCCTCTAAAAAGGAGGCAACCACTATAACTTTTTGCTCTGGCCTGGTGAACTTGTGCCTCGCATATGCGGGCGCAGTTCTCACCCAGGTGTCCAGGTCCTCATCCTTTTCCCTGTCGCCAGAAAAAGGTTTAGGACGCAACAATGGGATGTTTGACATCCACTAACAACTCCTCACTAGTGCTTGCATCACTCATGAGCTACATTGTGTGTGATCTAAACTAGAATCCACATTGAATCCTACCTCAGCATGACACACAACCGAGTATGATATACAACTAATTCCGGTCGGCCAGGACAGAAACACTTAGGTAGTCTAGTGTCAACTAATGTCAGATCCTACAGGGAACCTTAAATCTATTTTTAGATTACTCTAATACAGATTGCAATGCAGCAAGAAATATTCTACTCTATCTGCAGTCGTCTTTCGGTTGTTAGTCAAATCCGTAACAACTTAATAATCAAAAATAAAAATAATGTTCCCTGTAGAGATGTATGCTGGATGGCAGTTTATCTAATTAATGCCACAGCGAATAGTTGCCTGAATCCAACCCCTTTCCCTGTATCCCTCTTGAGTAGTCACTTTGTGTCAACGTCTTGAGCAGCGTGTCTGAAGGTGGGCAATCTGGCCCACCCCTGTGCCCCAAGTCTACACCGAACCTGCCAGCCCCTGCACCTTATTTATCCTCGCATGCAACGAGCCTTACACCTGGTTTGATCTGGATGATCAAGAGGCAGTTTTAGGACAGCCCCCACGGTCCTCAGGAATTATTTAACGTCGCAATCAGGACGACGATCACAGCTAGAGTCAACACCGAGTCCCTGCCAGAAATATTTAAAGACGGTCTGGAAAGCGTTTGTTCAAAGGGCTGGCATTACCTCTATTGCGCAGCAGCAGAACCAAGGACTTGCGGCAAAGCATGCGTGTACTAGTCCCAGTGGGTTGGCATGGTGACCGTGACCCGAGTGCTTCGTCCAGGGCCCTTCAGGGGCATCGCCCGTCTCCCACCAGCTTGCTGCCCATGAAGAATGTCGACTCTCAAGGTTGAGTGCTCACGACACCTCACATTGAGAGGACTCTCAAGACATAACTCACTTCCTCACGGTAAGAAGTAATGGAGAGGGTAGATAAGGAAGAGAGCAACGTACCTCATAATGCTGCCCCCAACCACAGATTTCTCACCGGCAACCTGATGTGCATTTATGCTGACCGGTCTTTGCCTCGGCACAACAAACAGCAGAATGCAGTTCCACCTCGGCTTAAATGCCACATCGGCGAGCTCTCATCATCCAGCGTACACCCCTAATGTCACCACATAGCTTCCTGGCGCACCCACATGACCCTGGGCCGCCTTACGTCCAATGCCCAAACCTTATCACTGCCCTACACCTCATGCGAAGCACCGAACAGCTATCGCGAAGAACCAATGAAGTGCAGCTCGAACCAGCTTTGATATCAAATTGCAAGGAATTTGAGCAATAGCGAGATGACAATAAGCAGATTGCACAATCACATGGAAGGCCAGATAGTATCACAGTGTCCAGAAAGCAGAAATGCACCAATATAACACCAATGAAGATTCGTAACACTGAAAACCAATATCAATGAGAACTTGCTCTCGCCACCACCAACATGAGTGTCCAGCCCCTATCTCCCTACTTGGCGCTCGGCGCCCAGCCTACTTCCTACACAACTACTCCCTGCCTACTATTTGACAATGCAACTGTTGGCGTCATCAGCCTCCGTAGTACTTGAAGATGTCGCCCATGCAGACCATCGCCAATACCACGTATGTGCCCTTACATCATCATCATCATCCTTCTCTCTCTCTCTCCCTCGCCTTACTCCCACATCTTCCCTTTGTACACCCGAAGACCACCCCTACGCCTCACTGTAGTCCAAGCCCAACCAGCTATGGATGTTGGGCTATTGCGCTGCCCTCAGCAGCACCCTGCTCCCTGCACGACCGCACGCGCTAGCACCTCGCCTCTCAGCGCCAGCAGCAGCCCACGAGCGTCCGCTCCAGCAGCGCTGCCACTAGCATGTGAGTGCCTGAATGACCTCCAGGCAGCGAGCTCTTTCCTATATGGAAAGAGCCTGCCTGCTTCGCTGCCTGGCTGGCCTGGGCCTAGAAGCTTCCGGTAGGCCCCAGGGTGCTGCGCCTCTGGCGCAGCTATTGGGATTCATTCGGTTGGGCCTCCTAACTGTCTGTGTATGAGGCTGCGATTCTCGCCCAGGGCCTGCACTTTTCTGAAAGGCACGAAAGGTCGTGGAATGTCTCGCTGCTCGGCCTGTGTTTCCCTCAACCAACTGGCGCGACGAAACTGCCTGGACCCCCGAATACGAATTTGACAGCTTAGGGCCTCTCGTGATGTGTTTGAAGGCGGGCACATATGCAACAAGTGGCCCTTAGGCCTGCCAAGGTCCCAGATCCTCGCAATGCATACAACTGCATTTTCTTTTTTAATTATTATTATTATATTATTTTGTTTAACACAAAGTCCCAATCTATTCTGGTGGGCGGCAATCCAGTTGTTTATCACCGGCAAGCATAGTTTGGTACATCAGGGGAGGAGTGAGATAGATAGTAGGGGAAGCCTTACCCTTGGGGCTTGAGCCGCCTTTCAAGGGGGGGCTGTTAGGAGCACCGCAGTCTCAGACTCCCGCTCTCTAGTTGGCCTCTCCGGCTAGTTGGGAGGTACCCTTTGGATGGGGGGGGGGGGGGGGTTGAGAGAAGTGGCGACTGCTAGTACCCTCCTTGCCCCGCATCCCCGGATTGGCGCTCAAGTGTTAATGGTAAGGAGCGTTGTGGTCCTATGACATGCCCAGTGGCTGCAAGCAAAACGATAGGGGGGGAAACAATCTTGGTCCAATGGGGATCTTATTGTCCCCGCCATAGGTGACGGCCAAAGCTTTGTTTCCTTCTTTTGTGAGTTTCATGGCTGCGACTTTTCTTCTTCTTCTTTTTTCTGTTGTTGTTCTTTCTGTGAGAGTATGAGAAAAGAAAATGGAGTGGGACCCAGGGTGTACATACTCGGAGCGCAGTGAAATTCAGACTCGGCAAAAACAGGCTCGGAGGTACTACTGGTTTAAGGGGCGGCTGATGGGCTTATTTGGGGTTCTGGACGCAAAAGAAGATTTTATTTATTTTATTCTTTTTCTTTTGCGGGGGTGCCGACCAACCCCCTACCGGTAGGTGCTGACCAGTCCGACAGTTGGCTGGTCGACCCCCGACCAATCCAGGGGTGTGGTCCCATTAGCAGTCGGATAGGAGTTTGGCCGATCCAGTGTGACACGGAGTGGCAGCAGGATGACAGGTTCATTACGAATTTCTGGGGTGAGAAAACAGGAGGAAGGCAAAAAAAAAAAAAGAAACAGAGACCTCCCACCTGAAATCACGGCAGAGTGCTTCCCAGCCATCAGATCACAAATGATCTGATGGTGGTGGTTGCAACAACAGTACAGAAAGTAACTGCCACATTTTCTGGAATAAACTCGACTTCTGTCAGCAGTGATCCTGACACCCTCCATATACTCCGTGATTGAAGGAGGGCTCCGCCCAATGAGATAATTGCACAAAAGCAAGCAAAATACTGAAAATATTCTATCCAGTGGGCCTATGGCCGACCCGTTTTTTTTTGGGGTTGGCCATGCCCCCAACGGATTGAAAAGATTTTGGCGGGAAGCTTCCTTTGCACGGGCATGCCCAGTGTTAAGGAGAGGAGGAGGGGAACGAAGATCTCCTTACTTTTTCGGGTAATACATGTAAAATACTGACCGTGGGATCACCAGTACTGCACGGCAGGATTTGGGTCACTCAACTGCCACACAAACTCTTTTCTATCCTATCCGGTTGCTAGTGGGACCATGCCCCAGGGGCGCCAACCGTCGGTGGGACTATTCTGCTCTCTGAGTCCGACCATCGTCACCAGTCACAAATTAAATATGAACCTGGGAGCAAAGTTCCCCAGAATACTAGCCAAGACTCTCTCTCTCTCTCTCTCTCTCTCTCTCTCTCTCTCTCTCTCTCTCTCTCTCTCTCTCTCTCTCTCTCTCTCTCTTGTTATTAGAAAGTGACCAGTGAAAGATGATGTCTTGGGCCGATGGAGCTGTAGGATGAAGGCCGGCCAGAGCCCAGTAGTAGTCCTGAGCTGTGGTTCCCAGGTGAGTAGTCCTGTGCGCTCTGCACTGCTGAAGACCTCTCTCTCTCTCTCTCTCTGATCTCCTTTGTAAATCTTCTAGCGCTAAACTGGTCCTAGTGCTAACTCCCTACAGTGCTGCTCTCCAGCAGCCTGCGGCTGAAGTATAGAACTAACACTACATGCCTACACTGAGCACTGGCCTACATACGCTGGGCCTACTGCATGAGTCTCGGTTCTGTATCTGGGGCCGTCCGAATCTCACGGTGGCGGTCCTAGACACAGGCTCGAGTCCTCGTCTAGGCTGCTGGCCTAAAAAACAACTTGCCTGGGTCCCTGCCGGAAGTCCCGGCCTCCCTGTCGATATGGCAGGGATGCTCATAGAGCACGTGGAGTGGACCAGTCACTACAGGACAAACCTGGTCTAGCCCAGCTGTGGACAAACGGGCCTGAAAAACAGCCAAACGTGGGGAACCAGTACCTCCACTGGTCCGAACAGGCAGCTGGGCCTGTTTGGACATAACAAACCAGACGACACTCTGAAAACTGCAAAAATAAATTAACTGCAACAAAATTCACAAGAATAAAAGAAGTGCCACAAAGTCACAGAAGCAGACAAAAGACTCCATGCTGTCTAGGGAGGACCGTACCACGGCCCAAAATCGTGTATATGGCTCTAAGGCCGTCAACATGAGGGACGTGTGGTAGGTCTGAGCATGCCACCCCCCACCCTCCTTGATGAACCACACTACCTGTGTGGGCTGCCGATCTGAAGGTGGAACCCAAGTCCGTGGATGGCAGCTTGTGAAGCTTCATTGGCCAGTCATTGTCACTCATGACTAACGACAATGTGCAGCTCGACACGGTGAAGCCAATGAGCCATACATGGGTGGCAATAGTTGAAAGTCGCCTTGCACTGCATTGGTGTGTTGCCGTAATGGAGATGCATGATGATCTGCAGCACCTCCTGAAAGTCATGCATTGGGGGAGGGTCTTGTGAACGCCACTGTGGAAAGATGTCCCGGTCAGCCCAATCCTTGTGGAACACCAGGTGCACGCTTAGGTGAGGTGGAATTGACTGGACACACACTGATCGCCAAATGAAATGACGTGTTGTAGGCACACTCGATGTCAGGTAGGCTCTCAACCCAATCCCTTTGATCCAGCCGAAAGAGTGTGGTGCGCTCTCAGGTGTTGGGAGAAACTCGGTTTCATTTTGGATCTGGAGTGCTTCATGAAAGGGGTTCAGAAGTTGGCTATGAAGTGAGTGTCCCAGTTGCAGACTCTATCTTCCGGAACGCTATCCTGGCAAATTCAGCTAAAGTGTAAGGCTTTTGCGAGCTTGAGAGATCTGCTGTGGTACTTGCAGGGATGAAGCCCATACTTGCTCAAACAGTCGACCACCGTCAAAATGTCGCTGTGACCGAAGCGATCGCATGGGATAGACCTGATGACGACGGTTACCTTGGAATCGATAATTGTCACAACTCATCACAGGGGCAATGGCTGTGTGGTTTGCGCCTTTGCAAACTTCGTACTGCTTGCAATACTTGGTAACGACGGGCACCAAGCCGGGCAAGTAAAAACACTGGAATCATTGGGCAACCATGTAGTTGACTCCAGGGTGGTTGGCAAGTTGCGAGTCATGATACTCACCAAGTAACCATGGGCAAAGTCGCCGGTCTTGAGGAACACAAAGCAAGTCCTCGGTGCTTGCACGGAGAAGCAAGAAACGGCATGAGATGCAGAACATCCGCCGGTGGTGTCCAGGATGACAGTGCCTCATAGAGTGCTGCAAAATCAGGTCAGATTTGCATCCTCCCACAAAATATTGCTGCAGACCCTTGTCAAGTGCCAATGAATGGTGTGTCAAAGCACAAAGGTCCGAACATCGAGATAAGGCATATGCGAGCCTTGTCTTGCATCCTATAGAAGATGGGTGCATTCTTCTCAGTAATCGACTTGAACTTTTAGCATGCCACGCAAAAGTGCCTCCACCACTTCAGAATGGTCACAGAGGCCAAAGCTCCTTCTTCCTTGCGTCATCGACGGAATGCACGGAATAACTTTCTTATCGAAGTGCTTGATCTGATGCCAATCGTTCCTATCATACCACTACAGTACGACACCATATTGTTGGACTAGCATGGGCAAGGTAGGATTTTGCAAGCATTGTCGTCTTGAGCTCCCCAAAAGCAGTACGCGCATCATCGCCAAACTCGAAGGGGCAGTCCTTTGATTGAAGCTTTGTCAAGGGCACAATGATCTTCGTGTACACTCGTAGCAGCCGGTGAATCCAAGGAATCGGATACATGTAACTGTAGCCATCTCAGGCCTATCTTGTTCAGTATATGTCTTGTCCACATATCATGCCAATTTGCACTTGCTATGGTTTGCCTTGTACCTGGCCTGGCAAAGTGTGTCCAAAACGGAGTGTAGATGCTCGATGTGCTGGTCCAGATCCAACTGTAAACCAAGATGTCATCTAAGTAGATGAGCACGAATTGACGTAGCATGGCCTGGAACTCAGGGGTCATGGCAGCTTTGAACGTCGCTGTGGAATGTGGAGTCTGAGTGGCATCAAAATCAACTCAAAATGCCCGTATCCAGTTTCAAATGCGGTCTTGTGGCGCTCCTGCGCGCAGATCTGGATTTGATGGTAGCCTGACTTCAGGTCCAACTTGGGAACTTATTGTGCGCCTCCGGACCGCTCCAGACTATCATCCATGTGGGGAAGGGGACCTGCATTCTTTATCATTAGAGTGTTGGGTGCTCCGTGATTGATGGAAAGTTGCAAATCCTTGTTCTTCTTTTGAGAATGAGGGGTAATCCACCCTATCGCGAGCAAGTTGTCAAGATGCTTCACGAATACACCCTTGTGCGAGCAAGTGGTCGAGCTGCACGTGAACCACAGAAAGCTCTTCTTTGTTCATACGATAAATGCAACCGCATGGATGGACAGTGCCATCCTGAAGAATAATCCTCATGCTGGATGGGCCGGTCTAGCAACACTACCATGGGAGCCTTGAGGATATATGCAAAGTAGTAAGAAAGCTGCAATACCAGTGGATTGAAGATCCGACGACGATGGAGAATCCGTTAGTGGATGTGCATGGAGAAAACATGGTCCAATCTCCGTGATCTGGTCACGTGCACAGGTCAAGCAGAAGCTCACTGCAGAACCAAAATCACAGCCAATAAAAGGGTGAGGAGGCAGAATCATACACGACACCAATCCCCCAAATGTGTCATGGACATGAAGAGTCCGGTGATAAAAGTTGACCAGATGGTCCTTGCTGCTAAGCCCTGACATGCGCAAGATCATGTCAACCTGTTTGTCCAACACGTCAAAAAAATTGGCTCCCGTGCATGCAGTGAGAAAAATACAGGCACAGAGTCAACACAGCAGCCAATGCTCTGTTGCGTACGACTATCACCAAGAGTGACTTCCTTCTAGCGCATGCTCATAGGCCAGTGCGACACAAAGTTTTGACTGATATATGTTGTGCCACAATCGCTCAAACCGCTGCATGTCGCCTTATCGATCTGGATCCAAACGCTCATCAACAGCGTTAATTACCTCGTACCGCTGTGAGGTGAACTAACAATCAACCTTTGACTATAAAGCTTTCAGTCAACAACTGCAACTTCGATATCTGATAACGGAGGTGGTACTACTGTCCACACATATTCTCTCAGTTGTGCTTCTAAGGTGGTGCAGTGGGTTCGATAAGCCACCGGTGAAAGGGAGTGAACCAGCGGATCTAAAATTGCACATGTGATCGAGTCTTTCGCCATGGAGAGAGCGGCCCAATGGTGGAACCAACTGGGTAGCTAAGTCCTCGAATGTTGTGCAAGGACTTGCAACTTTCACAAGTTCCCTGCACACAAACGTGACTGCTCGGAAGGCCGCCGTGACTGGTGGAATAGGGGATGCAGACGCATCATTCCCCGTGGTCTTCAGTTTCCTGAGTTGCCTTGACTTCTCTTGATGCCGTCTTTTTCCTCACATCTCAATCCTGAGCTAGGTGCTTGTTCTTCATTTTGCAATCCTGAGTGAAGTTCTTGGTGGTATTGCACCACAAGCAGCAGAGTTGTCCTTGCAATGCCGAGATCGACCGACAAACAGACAAATAGACAAACAGACGACAAACAGACCAACAAATAGACAGACAGACAAACAGACAGACAGGGACCCAAGCAGGCAAGCAGGCGAAGAGACAGAGAGACTGACTGAGCGAGTGAGCGACCGACCGGCACAAAAACAAATAAGTAGACCAAAAAAACAAAGAAACAGACAGATAGATCGAGAAACAGATAAGAACCGGCAGCGAGAGAGAGAGAGAGAGAGAGAGAGAGAGAGAGAGAGAGAGAGAGAGAGAGAGAG